TACCTACGGGGCCACGAAACGCATGAGGGGTGTGCCAAACTGGGTGCGGTGGGCGCATGCGATATGGGGCCACGAAGCATATGCGGGCTGTGAGGGCAAAGGCAAGGAGGGGGTAAAGAGAGGAGGGGAAGGAGGAGGAGAGGAGAGAGACGCGGAGCGCTGTCTCTTGAAAACGAGGACCCAACACCACAGGATGGTTGGTAAAAACGCGACACGGACAACGTAACGAACACCCGGAACCACGGCTGGGGCTACGGCAGGGGCTCGGGCCCAGGCTGAAGATCAGGCCAGGAGCGCAACAACAATATCGAGGGAACAACAAAACAGAACAACAAGACGAACGCCAAGAAACTATGGCCAGGTCGAGGGGCGAGATAATGGCTAAGACTCGAGCTGGATAACATGCCAGCAGAAGCGACACGAAAAACGGCACGAAAGGAGCACCCAAAACTGTGGCTGGGACAACGGCAGAAGCTGGGGCCCGGGCTGCAGCTGAGGCCAGGAGCGCAACAAAACGGCAAGAACAACAACAACGAAACGAGACACGACACGAACGCCCAAGAGCCATTGCTGAAACGAGGGCGAAACGATGGCTGGGCCTCGGGCCACCGGCTACGACACATTACACACATTACCAAACGATGCACAAAACGAAACATCAAGCCAGAAACGACGTACCTTCTACACTTAGGTCGGGCATGTCCCCCTACACGCGGATCGTGGACGAAGCATAACAAGTACTCAAACATACTCTAAACATGTTCTTAAATACTTCAAAAATCGCCCCCATACTACTTTTGAAGATTACCCCTGTAGAGGGACAGGCCCGACTTAATACTACACGCAATCAAAACATCGAACGACAACGGCGGCACGAAACAAAACGGACAACGACACGACCCGCGGAATGAACGGAGTAACCAACATGAAACACTACATGCAGCTGTGGAGCCGCAACAAAAAACGAATAACCAAACGCGCACCCACAAAACGTTTTACCTTCAAGCACGTTCAAATAAAAACGAAAACACACCACGGAACAACAACGAAAAACGAAACGAAAAACAAATCAAGGGCCAACACCAAACTAAACACCGTTGTGCCGGAGCCTTGGTTCTCGGTTTTCCGTAGTGCGACCCATCCCCATCCCCCATCCACATCTGCGGTATCTAGGGTCCGACGAGTACTTGCTACCGCTGCCGTCGCTGCAAATGACCGTCTCGTGATTCGCGTCGGGCTCCTCGGTGTTCATGATGATCTCGCCGATGTGGTTCTGTGAGTCGCAACCTGGTGGTACTGTCCATTCCCGTGGGACCAGACCTCATAGCCATACGTAACGGGATCACGGAAGAGGAGGAGGAGGACGAGGAGGAGGCTGTCGAGGAAGGGGACGGGGAGGTGGATGGGGAGGGGGAGGGCGAGGGCGAGGGGGAGGAGGAGGAGGAGGAGAAGGAGGAGGAGGAGGAGGAGGAGGAGGAGGAGGAGGAGGAGGTCCGGAGCCGATCAGACCGAGCGCACCCCAGCAATGAGGGAAGACAGAAGCTGCACTGCTATCGACGATACGACGGCAACGCACAGCTCATCCAGACACGCGACGACTCCAGCACAATCGAACGATCGACAGCGGAGTCTGAGCGGCCTGGGCATCACACTGGCAAGGGCTGGCCAGTGCGGAAATGGATGCCACGCATGATTTGAGAAATCGCTTGCTCCTCGTTGGCACGCAGGAGGGGGAGGAGGAGGAGGAGGAGGAGGAGGAGGAGGAGGAGGAGGAGGATGAGGAGGAGGAGGAGCAGGAGGAGGAGGAGGAGGAAGAGAAGGAGGAGGTGGATGAGGAGGAGAGGTGGGAGGAGAGGGAGGAAAAGAAGGAGGAGGAGAAAGACGACGACCAGTGTAAACCCAAGGGGCATCAACGATGTTGGAATAAACCCTCCCTCCAAGCTCCCTCTTCACAGGCTTCTACAACGGTTCATTTTTACTGAGGGTACTGCCTCTTTGGAAGGCAACTGCTTCAAGACCCTGAAGCATGATTCCAACTCCACGGATCAACCTGACTGTTGCGTCTGGACGATCCTGAATCGTGCCAGAACACCATTCCTGGGACTTGAACACCGCGAACCAATATAACCTGGGCATCCTCACAAGCCTGAATCCTTCCAAAACACCATTTCTGGTACGTTGCTCATGGGAACCCGTGAAACTTCTGCTACGTGTTAAAACGAATTCGCAAGGCGCTAAGCTGAGAGCCACATGTTGAAAAAAGAACCGCCCTCAACCCGTGAAGCGTTCGCAAATGTTTAAATCGAATGTGCGCGGCGCCATGGCGAGAGCCACATTTTGAAAAGAAACCGCCCTCAATCCATGAAACGTTCGCATCTGTACAAAAAAAACGAAGGCGCGCGGCGCTAAGGAGAGAACCACACTTTGATCAACGTACCGCCCTCAGTATGTGAAATTTTCGCAAGTGTTTAAACCGAATGTGCGCGGCGCTAAAACGAGAACCACCTTTTGAAAAGAAACCGCCCTCAACCCGTGCAATTCTTACAATGTTTTACAACGAATGTGCGCGGCACTACGGCGATAACCACATGTTTAAAAAGGAACCGCCCTCAACCAGTGAAACTCGTGCGAATGTTTAAAACGAATGTGCGCGGCGCTACGGCGAGAGCTACATTTTGAAAACGACTTGTCCTCTATATTTGAAACTCTTGATTCTTCAAGACGAATGCGTGCGGCGTGAGGGCGAAAGCCACATTTTGAAAACGACCCGCCCTCCATCTGTGAAACTGTTGCCAATTTCTTTAAGCTCCAGAGTCATACATGGCGAGGAAGTCTCAGGCGAAACGCCCGACCCGCCCTAAAAACTGGCTTCGGGGTGCGACAGGGAGAACTCAGTTATAAGCAGAAGGAATGAAAGAGGAGGAGGAGGAGGAGGAGGAGGAGGAGGAGAGGCAGGAGGAGAGGCAGGAGGATGTGGAGGAGGAGGACGAGGAGGAAGAGGACAAGGTGGAGCAGGAGGAGGACACGGAGCGGCGGAGGAGGACGACGACGAGAACAACGACGAGAGGGAGGTGGAGAGGAAGGAGGAGGATGATGATGAGGAGGAGAAAGATGGGGCAACTACGACGACGACGACGACGATCGCGGCGCTGTCTGGTCGACGAGGCTGGCGGCGCCTGCGTGCTGGCGTCCGCCCGCAGCTGGTCGGGGTGAAACTGGTCGCTCAGCGGCCGCGCGAAGAGCTCGGAGCGTGCGCGACCCTCCTGCTGAGGAGGGCCAGTGGGGAGGGGCAACATTTGGGGGGAGACGGGCTCAGGGTTGCGGGGGGGGGGCGGGGGGGGGCGGGAACATCGACCTGCAATTGGCGATACATCGAGGACAGATCGGCGATAGGCCCCCGATAGCGAATCCACGTGTTCCTAAGCGAGGTTTGCTATCGGGCCCCTATTGGTGACGCATGGGCGATCGGGGGGCGATGCATCCCCCCTGAGCCTTTTCCGTACTAACGTTGCCCATGACCAGGCCTACGGTCGGGGGCTTGACCTGAGGAACCCAAAATAAGGAACGAGGCCCCTTTTTTCCATGAGTTAAACTTCGATGTCCGATCGAAGACATACGTAACACCTGAGGCAAGCTGCGACACATTTAAGAAACGCGGAGCCCCTCCCCAACGAAAAGGGTTCTTTCTTCAGGGCCCCGACTGTAGGCTTCTTCAGAACAGGAAAATTCAGCATACAAAATATAAACTTTCGGAGGTCCGACAACTTGGCTGATGCAGCTGACTCCTCTTGGGCTCCTGGCACGAGGCAGAGCGGTTACCGAGGGAAACGGATCCTGGACCCCAGGGCCTTACAGTCGGGGCGTTGACCTAAGGAACCCTAAATAAGGAACGAGGCCCCTTTAAGTTAAACTTCGATCTCCCATTGGAAACTTAAAGAAAACCCAGGGCAAACTGTAAAACAATCAAGGAACACCGAGCCCCTTCCCAACGAAAAGGGTTCCTTCTTCAGCGCCCCGACTGTACCCCAAAACCGGCGAATTCGCCATGGGCAATCTTCGGGCAATCACCTGGAGCCCGTGGAGGGCAGGACCCACGCACAGCGCGTGCGGCATCACCTGACATTGCAGCGGATACGAATCGGCGGACGTCGTATCATGTTGCCGCTGTGGCGCGACGCACCGATGGCACAAACATCTGCACCTCACTGCCGCGCGCCCCTGCCGCGCGCCCCTCCGCCTGGCCGTGTTGGCCCAGGGTGCTCAAAAGGCCCTGGAACCCGCGACAACAGAGTCGCTCCCGGAGGTAGTTCCTCGGGCAGGGCTTGCATGCGCTGGCCTCGACATTCTTCCGTGGCAACTCATGGGGACCTCCCATGCCATCCTGCTGGCTCTTGCGAACCGACGCCAATCAACGCTCATCGGCGCTAAGTCGACGCCAAGCGACGCTGGTCGACGCTAAGATGCGCTCATCGACGCGGTTGCACCCTGAAGGCGGACTCACGAGAGAGCACACGACACGAGGCCCCCTATGACCTGCTACCAAACACTGCGCTGGAAAGCACCGGGGCCCGCGGAGGGCCCGGGGGAGGCCAAGAAAGGCGGCGAACGGCATCCGGACCCGTTGGGTCCGTGGCGAGCTTCGGGCGTCAGCGGGCGGCCTCTCTGGCGAGAGGCGCGCCCTGGGCGGCCTCCCGAACGCCCCGCCCCCGCGCGCGCGAGGCTCGCGGGGGGGGCGGCGAGGGAAACGAGGGGGGGGCGCTGGTCTCACGCGGCCTCGTCTCCATCAAGGGGATGTAGTGAACGAAACTCTGCGGCGCCACTTTTTTTCCGAACGCGCCAGGGTGTGACCGAAACGCGTGGTTGGAAACTGACGGTTCTCGAATTCGGTCGCAATTTCGATCGCACCACGTTTTCGGTTACAATTTCGAGCATGTTTTTGGTCACCAGCTTTTGTTCGGTCACCTGCCTCTTCGGCTTATAGGGGCCGGGTGCAATGACTGGTTCCAAGGACACTTTTAGGAGGAAGAAGATGGGAGCGGATAGCATGCTTCAACAGCCAGCGTCAAAACTCGGATGCCGCCACGCACCATAAGCCAGGTCAGAAGAGATCTTGACACGGCCAGGGAGGCACGGCACATGCGGGAGAGCGGTCGCACTTGAAAGCCGTTTTCTTCCTCACCCAGCGGGTCGGACAAACGCGCACTACAGTGGGAGCACATGCCAAGAAACACCCTGCTTGCCTTCAGGGTGTCCTGGATTTCTTGGGTTGCGATGGTCTTGCGATGGAAAGCGCGACGTGCCCGCGCCAACAATCTACGACCGTCCTGGGGTGTCAGGGTTGGGTCTCTTGTGGGAGGTTTCTTGTGGACTAGCCTCCACTGCACGACAATGGAGAGGAGAAGGAGCAGGAGGAGCAGGAGGAGGAGGACGGGGGAAGGCACAGGATCGCAATACCTAGGCAGAGGCGGATGTATTTCAAGGACGGGACATTGACTTGGAACCGGCGATGCATCGCAGATAGATCGGCGATGGGCTCCCGATAGCGAAATCGCACATTCGTGGGCATCCTGGGGCCTCCAGCGCCCGATCGGCGACGAATGTGCGGTTGTGGGGGTCCCCTTAGCGAGCCCTCGCGCAAGTCTCCGACCGTCGTTGCCCCTGAAAGGCGCCGCCCGAGGGTACGGGGAGGGGTTTGGGCGCCGGTGCCGAAGAGCCTGCCGCGACCGTGCGATGCTCGAGATTCAGGTGCGTTCTGCGCCCTCCCGCTCCTGAGAGGACAGGTCCACCCCGAAGAAGTCGGTGTCGGCCCAGAGGTTGCTGGCTTTGATTCTTCGCGCCTGGTAGATGTGCGCGTCCTCTTCGGCCACCCAGAAGGGCACCAGAGCAGAGGGGCTCGGAGGATCGGGACCGAACCGCGGATGCATCGGCGATGCCTCGGCGACGTCGGGGTGGAGGGTGTTTCACCGCCGCTGCTTCGGCGATGCGGCGCGATCCTCCGACTCCATGGTCCCATTTGGCCCGCCTTGGAAATTCCGAATCCAATGAAAAAGCTTCTTACACATCTTGGGGAAACATCCTGGACTTCCGCCGGCCACCCGCTCCCTTCCGATGGCAGGTCCGCCCTGCGCCAGCTTCCGCTCCCCGCCGAGGAAGAGGGGCCGGTTTCTCGATGCGCCGAAAAATCGAAGAGCCCCTTCAGAAACGCGGTTTTGCGGGGAAGCCTGGAGTCCTCGAACGGGGCCAGGCAGAGCGTCGCGAAGGCCGGGAAAAGCTTGCCGCCGGGTCTGAGGAAGCGTTGCCTGGCGAGCAGCACCTGCTGTTGGCACTTCTCTTCCTCCTCCTCCTCCTCTTCCTCTTCCTCCTCCTCATTTTCCTCCACCTCCTCCTCCTCTTTTTCCTCCTCCTCCTCCTCCTCCTCTTCCCTCCTCCTCCTCTTCCTCCTCCTCCTCCTACTCTGCCTCCTCCTCTCCCTCCCCCTCCTTCTCCTCCTCCTCCCTGTCGCACCCCGATGCCAGCTGTTAGGGCGGGCCGGGCGTTTCGCCAGGGACTTCCTCATCATTTATGACCCCGAAGCTTAAGAAATAGCAGCAGCTTCACAGGTGGATGGCGGTCCGTTTTCAAAATGTGGCTCTCGCCTTAGCGCCGCGCACATTCGTTGTACAAAATTACAAGAATTTCGCGGATGGAGGGCGGGCCGTTTTCAAAATGTGGCTCTCGCCTTAGCGCCGCGCACATCATTCGTAAAATTTTGCACGAGTTTCACGGATTGAGGGCGACCCGTTTTCAAAATGTGACTCTCGCCTCAGCGAAGCGCACATTTGTTTTAAATGTGTGCAAGAGCTTCACGGATTGAGGGCGGCTCCTTTTCAAGACGTGGCTTTCGCTGCAGCGCCGCGCACAATCTTCTTTATATTATTTTTTGTTAAAATTGTAAGACTTTCACGGACTCCCATGATCAACGTACCAGAAATGGCGTTCTAGAAGGACTCAGGACTACGAGGGTACAACAATTACGTTGATTTGCGGCGTTGAAATCCCAAGCACGCTTCCGGATCGTCAAGACGCAACAATCATGTTGATCCGTGGCGTTGGACTCCCGAGAACAACGCTTTGGCATGCTTCAGGGTCTTCAAATGGTTGTTTTCCAACGAGGCAATTCCCTCTGTGGAAATGAACTGTTGTAGGGGCCTATGAAGAGGGAGCTTGGAGAGAGGGTTTCTTACAACATCATGGATGGCTCTTGGGCTTACGCTGGTGTTCCTCCTCCTCCTCCTCTTCTTCCTCCTCCTCCTCGTCCTCCTCTTCCTCCTCCTCCTCCTCCTCTTCCTCCTCTTCGTCCTCCTCTTCCTCCTCCTCCTCCGCCGCCTATTCCTCCTCCGATTATTCTTCCTAGTATGATGCTCATCTTCCGTAGTATGCTTACTATTCGTATGATAAGTACCAGGGTGTGTATTATCAGTAGTCTTATGTGTTACTATTATTACTGCTGTAATTATCATGGTGCATGCTATTCGTATTCGCATTATGATTGGTATTGCTATGATCCGTCTTGGCATGATTATTCTCATTATTGTTACAAGTATTACTACTATGTTATGCTTGCCACTTTCTTATTCTTATGTATGTTGTTACGTTTTCTGACTCTTGATATTACTATTATGATTATTCATCGTAATCCTCCTCCTCCTCCTCTCCTCCCTCCTCTTCCTCCTCCTCCTAATACCCTGCCTCCTCCTCCTCCTTTCCTCCTCCTCCTCGTCCTCCTCCTCCTCCTGCTCGTGTTCCTGCTCCTGCTCCTGCTCCTGCACCCGCTCCTGTTCCTGCTCCTTTTCCTCTTCTTCTTCTGTTTAGTAGTACTCTTCGTCTTCCTCCTCCTCCTCCTCTGCCTCCTCCTCCTCCTCCTCCTCCTCCTCCTCCTCCTCCTCCTCCTCCTCCTCCTCCTCCTCCTCTAGGGGGCCACATGCGAACCCTACCCCTATACCCCCCCACGATTTCTGAGGGGGAGGGTGGGGTTTACTTCGCTCGGGAGCTCCCTCCTCATCAACATCGTCCTCATCGTCCTCCTCCTCCTCCTTCTTCTCTTCTCTTCCTCCTCCTCCTCCTCCTTCTTCTCTCCTTCTTCTTCTTCGTGTTCCCATGCCGTGATCCCCCCCCTTCCGAACCAGCACGGCGAACCCCTGGAGGGCGCGCGCACGGGATCGGCGCGGGCATCGCGCCGTTTCGATGCCGCGTTCCGCGAAGAGGAAGTTCCCCAGCGTCTCGTGCACTATGACGTCGACCTGCTCGGGCACCTCCACCGAACAAAGAGGGGAAAGGGGAGCTCTCCCCCTCCTCCTCCTCCTCTTCCTCCTCATCCTCCTCCTCCTCTGCTTCCTCCTCCTCGTCGTCCTCTTCCTCCTTCCCCCCTTCTCATCCTACTCAAGAAGAACCATCCTGGATGTCAGCGCCCCCCTCTCATCCTCATCACCATTACCACCACCACCATCACCACCACCACCATTTCCACCACCACCACCACAGCTGCACCAGCGTTATCATCAGACGCACCGCCATCATCGCCATCATCAACACCAACAGCATCGCCATCGTCTTCGCCATCATCAACAAACCAGCAACACCACCACCGTCAACATGATCGTCACCATCATCATCATCATCATCATCATCATCACCATCATCCTCATCCTCATCCTCATCCTCATCCTCCTCATCATCATCATCATCATCATCATCATCATCAGAATCATCATCATCATCGCCATCATCATCATCATCATCATCATCATCATCATCATCATCATCATCGTCATCATCATCACCCGCATCAACGTCGCCACCGTCACCATCAGCATCAACACCATTACCAACAGCATCATACTCGTTACTGGGCCGTACTAATTTTCTGAATGGGGTATCTGCCACATATGATAGCAACGCTGTGAAATCTGCAGCGCGAACACCTGGGTCACCTCGGAACCCAGGAGAAACGAAAGCTTTCACAGGCCATCCCAACTGGGCAAGCTTGGGATGCCGAAGCTGGGTTGAGCGGGGTATTCTACCAGGGAGGCGCATTTGGCCGCGGGACACTTGATCAACAGCGCTTGTGGTATACAAGCGAAGCAACTTGACGAGACAGGGCCCATCCAAAACTGCGCACGCACAAACACTACTGGGCCCTACCTCGCTGGGTGGGTGATCTGCTTTACACGATAGCGACGCCATCTAAATTGCGGCGCGAGCACCTAGGCCATTTCGAAGCCCAAGGGGGGCGGCAGCTTTCACAGACTATGCCATAGCAGCGAGCTATTCGGTGCATCCTGGATGAGCTCCAAGAAGGCAATCTCTGTGTACGAGCCGCTTTCGTCAGAATTCAAACAAGCAACATATTAAACTTAGGGGGGCACGGGTGGGCGATGACAGTCCACTTTGGCCGCACGGCCCCCCCCGTCAAATGGAACTAAGGCTGGTTCGTCCGAGAGCAGGCCACGCTGGCCACAGCGTCGCATGGCCGCGAGCTGTTCCAACTCTCGCGCGTAAACATTACCGGACAAAACAAAAAAACACGACCCCTCTCCCTGCAACAGACCCCCCTCATGCGAAAATCAACATTGATCTCACTGACACGAGGGTGCTGCAGCACGGCCAGAGCCCAGGGAGTGAGCCACATTCAACTGGTCAGGGGACTCTTCCACGCCCAGGGAACGCCGGAGGAGGAGGAGGAGGAGGAGGAGGAGGAGGAGGAGGAGGAGGAGGAGAAGGAAAAATGCTGAGACACCGAATGATCTGAAGTTCAGAGCGAACGCAACCGATCCCTTCGCCCCCATTTCTCCGCTCGCCAGCCGGCAGGCCCGGGGCGCCCCACGGGCTCCCACGGTGACGACGCTGGAGCCCGTGGCCACGAGCGATGGAGAAGCTGGCGCGTGGCGGGCACGGGCGTGCGCCCACCACCTCCCCACCTCGGATCCGTTGCTTGATGCGTCTGACATGCCTTCGCCTGGCCCAGTCGGAATCCCACCAGCCCTCTGAGCGTAGGTGGTTCAAGACGGCTCCTCTTCCAACCCCCTTTCTTCCCCTTCGGGGAAGGGTTTTACCCCTCCTCCAACCCCTTCCCCTGGACGGGGCGCCCCGCGAGCGGTCAGGCTGTCCAAAACGGCCTCGGTGAGGGCACCAAAATAATTGGATTCACTAGGGTTTTGGTCACATTTTGGCCTCCTGAGGGGTGGGGTGGGGGGGGGCGCTAATGAAGGACCCCCCCCTTCTTTGATCGATCTCCCCCGAGATGGCCCCACGAACGCCCCCGAGGCTCAAGGGTGCCCCAAGAGGGCTCCAAGAGGTGGCCAGGAGGCCCCAAGGGGCCCCCAAGAGGCCCCCAGGATGCCCCCAAGAGGTTTCCTAGAGACCCCCAAGAGGCCCGAAGAGGCCAAGACGCTCCAAAAAGCCTCGGCGACAATGCCAAAATCATTGACTTTACTAAAAGTATTGGCCACATGTTGGCCTCCTGGGGGGGGGGGCGCTGCTTAAGATAACTCCAAGAGCGCCTGGGGAAGTCCAAGGATCCCCCAAGATGGCTCAAGATATCCCAAGATGCCTCAAGATGGTTCCCACGATGCTCCAAGAGGCACCAAGACCGCTCCATGACGGCTCCAAGTGGCCAGAAAGCTCCCCCAGAAGGCCCCGAAGAGGCCAAAATCCGTCCAAAACCTTAGGAACATCAATGTTTTGGGTTTCCTCGCCTTTTCGCTTCCGATGGCCCATCGACAGCCTTAAGATGGCCCCGATCTGGCCCAAAAGGGCTCCAAGAGCGCTCCCAAGGCTCCCAAGAGCGTCCCAAGAGGGCCCCAAGAGGCGCCCCGACGGCCCCAAGAGGCCCCAACAGGCGCCCAAGAGGCCCCAAGAGGCTCCCCAGAGACCCCCAAGAGGCCCAAAACTGCTCTCCGAGGCACCCAAGACGCTCTAAGTGGCGCCCGTGACGGCCAAGAGGCCCCCAAAAAGCTCCAAGAGGCCTCCACTGGGAGACCCTTCCTCTGCGTGCTGCCCACTTCTCTGATCGAGGCAATTCCTCTGGGCATCGTTTCTGGATGGGCTGGCGGGGTTACTTTTTTTTCGTCGCGGCCGCAGGCGAACGCTCCAGCAGCGTCAATGGTCGGGCGGGCTTCGCGCGAACCTAATTGCATAACGCGCCGGCAAACTGGCGGCCTAAGCAGCACCTACGCTGACCGGAATGCGCGAGGCCGCGCGGGCTGCAGCTGCCAAGAGCCAGGTCCAGGAGCGAGCGCATGCATATTTAGCCAACCGAGGTTGGAGCGCAGCCAAAATGGCGCGGGAGCGATACCAGGATGTAGCCAGGAGCACCATCCCGAAGGAACGCTGACATCAGCTAGTCCAGGAAGAACTCACTGACCAGGAAACTAGCGCATGGAAGTGGCGCCACCCCAGTCGCACACAACGAGACTCCTGAAGGGAATGCTGAGCCGGACACTTGTCGTCAAACCGTGAACAGAGTGAACGCGAACGGCATGGCGGAGTCGCCAGGGAAACGATGGATGTGATCAACACCGTAACTGAACCTGAGACAACAGATCCAAGGAAACCGCGCGCACTCCCGAACTAGTTCGTCGACATCTGCGGAGAACTGACCAGGAGCTGGGCAGGTGCACGCCTCAAGCACGTGGTCGAGCGAACACGAAAGTGTCGTGGGCACCGCCGCCAGGAACAGCGGGCGTAGTCAACGCAGTCGGCCGACGGTCAGGAGAGCACAGGCTGGACCACGTGCACTCGGGGGCTCCGTGCGCCAACGAGGAGGTCGGGCATGTGGAGAAGGGGGGGGGGGCAGGAAGCCGGGGCCATCAAGGCTGCCGCGGGCCCGGCTGCCTGAGGAGGGGCGGAAGGAGCGAGGGGCCCCAGGAGGCAGCGGCGGCAAGAAGGGCAGTGCAGGGCCGGGCCACCACCCCGGAATGCACCTTTGCGCCGCGCAGGGCCCAGGGGCGGCGGCAAGCGCCGCTGAGCGAGGGCAGGGGCTCGCGGGCTGGCAGCATCCAGCCAGACGCGAAAACAGCTATAACACACGCGCCACTGGCGCCGACGGACGCAGGGGGCGTCGGCACGGGGTGGCGCAGGCCGCGCGTGGCGCGGGCCAGCGATCACGGACTGCGCCGACTCGCCCGAAGGCGTCAGCTGCGTCCGCGGCGCTGGCGGGGGCACGCGCGCGAGCCGCCCTGGCCGCCGCGGCCGCCCGGAGCAGCCGGCAAGGGGCGACTGCGAGCAGCGGGCGGCGAGGGGCAGGAGGGGCGGGGCGGCGGCAGACTAGTGCGAAACGAGGGCGGGCTCGCCCGCAGAGCTTTAGGTGATGACCTCCCACTGTTTCTTGCCCTTCCTGGGTGCGCGGCTGTCAGCGCGGCCCTTCGCCGCCTGGCGCCCCCTGCCCGCGCCGCCGCTTCCACCCAGGCACCGATGCCGCAGCTGAGCCCAGTCAACGCCGAGACCCAGCGCGTCGTTCACGGCCCGCACGTCGCAGTTGCGGCCGCGGAAGGAGGGCGAGAAGTTGGCGCAAATTTGCTGGTCGTGCCTCGCGGGTCGAGCGCGCCTTTGCTGCCAGGCATGGCATGCTGCTCGGCGAACGCGTGCCGGGCGCCTTTGAACATCGCCCCGAGGGTGACTTGAAGCCGCCCTATCGCCTTGCCAGGTGTCTCCCCGGAAGGGGTCCCACTGGATGCCGCCGATCTTCACTTTGCGCAGCTGCTGTCCCGCGTCGGGGCCCAAGGGTTCTGGCCGCTGGCGCGCGGCGGGCCCCGCTGCCAAAGGCGGGGTGATCAGCGGCTGGTCCTTGGCGCGGCGGCGGCTGCTGCTGCTGCTGCTGCTTCTGCTGCCGCTGCTGCTGGCGCGCCCGCCGCCTGTTGCCCGCCGCCCGCCGGACCTGCCGGCGCGGTCGGCGTCGCGGGGGGCCAGGTTTCGACCCGAAGGCGGAGGGGGAACTGGAGAGTCGCCGGTCGCGGAAGCCAGGCAAGGCGCCCACCCGCGGCCAGGCAGACGCGCTGGGGGCGCGTTCTGGCCGCGCTGCCGCCGCCCATCGGCGCTCGAGCTCGCGCCATTGCCAGAGAGGGAGGAACCAGGGTTAGAAGCGGCAGCCGGGGGAGTGTGGCGGCGGGCGGTTGCCCGTTCCTGTTCCTGTCCGTGCCCCAAGTCCCGCGCTGGCGCCACTTCCGCGCCCGCCCCGTGGGCGGCGGGCAGCTCCTGTTCAGCGGGCTATTCCGGCGTCTGCTCTGCGTGCTGCTCTGGTTCTCTACTCGGTTGCGCCCGCCCCTGGTCCTGCTGTCTGCGCTGCCGCGCGTTCTGGTCGTAGGCCTGCGGCGAACCAGCCCCGCTGTCCTTGACAGAGCGCTCGAGCTCTGTTGGCGACAGTTCCGAGTGGTTGGGCCCGCCGCAGAGCCGCACATGGCGTCGAGCGGCGCGGCGGCAGCTGGGGCAGGGGCGCCTGGCGGGGCCATGCGGGTCGGTGCGGGCCGCGCAGCCGGCCGCTAGGCAGGGGCCGGATCGCCTCTGGCAGCTCGGGCAGAGAGGAACGTTGCACTGAGGTGTGCGGGGACAGGCCCCGTTCGCTGGAGTTCGCCTTCGGACCCGCGCCCGCCCTCGCTCACGGGCGTGCCCCCATCTGCCGCCGCGCTAGCGCCAAATGTGGGAATGCCGTCGGTCGTACCAGGTGCATGCACGTTCGCCGACACCGTTTCTGTCGCCAGATCATAAGTCTCTTTCTCTGTCGTGGCCCGGGCTTCTGGAGGGTGCGGGTGAGGTTCGCCGTCCACTCGGGTGGATTCACTGACAGGGCAAGGAGGGCGAATGGGCGCGAAGGGACTTCTCTCGACGAGCTGGCGGATGGCTTCGATGTCCTGCCTCTGCAGGGCTGGTCCGTGGTCCCCCAGCGGGGGGTGTTCGGACGCCCCATGGGCGACTGCGGGAGGAGTCACAGCTGGGCGTCGCAGGGTCTCGCAGTCGACTGGGTGCAACGACAGCCCCCGACTTTCCAGGAAGCGGGTTCCATAACAGCCGTCAGCCACGGGGGTGGGGGCTTCGGAGGCGTCGGCCAGAACGTCTGCGCCGATCGCGAAGACGCGCCCGTCTGAAGCTCGCGCGCACAGCCAGGAGTCAGGCGCGCCATCCGGTCGTGAGCGCCCTGGGTCGCGTGGAAGGTATCCGATCTCGGGCGCGCCATTTGCAGCAGTCCGAGCTGTCGCCGCGGTACTGTCTCCAGGAGGGGGCGCATTTTCGGCCTTCACTAAGACTCTGCTCCCCAGGCGCTGATAGGAGTGAGGAGTTGTAGGAGCGCCAGTCTACCTGTGTCCAGGAGGGGACGGACCGACACGCTGTGGCTGACGACCACCTGATCAGTCTGAAGCTCCCCCCAAGGACTTTTGCAGCTAACGGCTGCACTTTCAAATGCAAGCTCCTGAACCTGTATGTTGTGAGGAACGTCTCCGAACGCGGGCGCGCACCTTGAAGTGTTCCCCAATATCGCCGCGATGCTGTCTCCAGGAGGGGGCGCGCTTTCGAGCGCATATCCAGCCTCATCCGCGAAGCTGCCCCGGGGCCAAGGACGCTGATAGGAGTGAGGGGTACTATGGGGGTCCGCCTACCGGTCTCCAGGAAGGGGAGGGGCCGACACGCTTTGGCTGACGACCACGTGCTCGGTTTGTCGCGCTACCAGAGGACTGTTGCAGCTGAAGGCTGCACTTTCGGAAACAATGTCCTGACTGTCACAATTGTGAGGAACGTTTCCGAGCGCGGGCGCGCCCTCTGCAGCACCCCGGGCACCCCCAACCATCGCCGCGATACTGTCTCCAAGAGGGGGCGCGCTTTCGAGCGTAACTATTTCTGGCCTCCTCCGCGACCCTGCCCCAGGGACGCTGATAGGAGTGAGGAGCACTGTGGGGGTCCGCCTGCCGGTCTCCAGGAAGGGGAGGGACCGACGCGCTGTGGCAAACGACCACCTGATCAGTCTCGAGCTCTCCCAGAGGACTTTTGCGGCTGACGGCTGCACTTTCGGATGCAAATTCCTGAGTGTCTGAATTGGGAGGAACGTCTCCGAGCGCGGGCGCGCCCTCTGCAGCACCCCCAGTTATCGCCACGATACGGTCTCCAGGAGGGAGCGCGCTTTCGACGGCATTTCTGGGTTCCTCCGCGAACCTGCCCCAAAGACGCTGATGGGAGTGAGGAATACTGTGGGGGTCCGCCTGCCGGTCTCCAGGGTGAGGAGGAGGCTGGTGAGGTTACGCGAACCGTCTAGAATTTTCATCCCAATTTCCCGCTCTTTGAAACGCTCATGTCTGACAGCTCAGGCCAAGGCAAACGACTGCGCTGGTGCAAAGCGCGCGCTCCCCGACGTGTGCTGCGCATACCACGAACCAACATTGCCCGGAACGCGGGGAGACCTCCCAGAGGCCCCCCCCAGGCCGGGGGAGGTCTGGGGGAGGCCTCTGGGGGCGGGGGGCAGTTTGGGGAAGGCCTCTAGGAGATCTACCAATATTGCTAGGGGACCCTTATAAGGAACGAGAGGCGGAAGCGGCGGCGGGACAGCAGCCTCCTCATCTGCAGCTGCGGCCTGGAGAGGCGCCGCCGCCGCGATGCCGATCAGCGTATCGCTCGGGCGCTCCCACCCGCTGGGCGAGACGTTGCCGGTGACGGGAGGGAGACCCTGCGCCAGAGGCTCGGCCTCTGCCAAAAGCCTCCTCGCTCGACTCGGGATCCGCCGCTCGAGCTCCGCCGTGCTGGAGTGCCCCCTGAAGCGGCACACGGCGCGCTGGAGACCAGGAGGCGGCCGACCATCATGCGTGGCCCGCGCACCCAGCGGACCCTCGCGGCACCCTCGCACAGTCTCCGCGCACGCGTGCATCGTGGCCGTCTGGCGTCGAGATCAGCACGATCCCTCGCGCTGCGGTCGGCCACTGGACCATCCTCTCGTGGTGCACTGAGTCGTCCTCGTGTCAAGCCAGATACTGCTCCTCCGGCTGAAAGCGGCTCCAGACAGCCCTGTCCGCCCCGCCGGCTGGAACGATCGCCATCACACTGACGAAAACGGAAGGCCACGAACACACTGACGAGAACGAAGGCCGCGAACGTCAAGACCGCCCAGCTCAACATAGACGAGACGCCGGCGATGAGGTCCCACAGACCCGACCGCGCGTCCCTCTGGCCGCGCTCCTTCAAAGCGTAGGCCCCCTCCTCCACGATGAGCGGGAAGCTCAGCGCTCCGCAGTGCAGCTCGCACGGAGGGCACTCATTCCAAGGATCGCCAACGCCAGGGCAGACGAGTGGGCACTGGAGTGAGGAATGGCCGCGCCACTCCTTCGAGAATTTGGAGCCCCGAAGCGGTGCGGTGACAGACCGTGCGGTGACCTCGGAACCCCAAGAGACCTCACCGCACGGACCGTCACCGCACGGTCGTGGGACCCTGGAGGCCCTGGTCGCCCGAGACGTCCTCGGAGAGGGACTCGAGTCCCGAAACCGAGCGCTGACCCCGAAATCCCACCGACTCACCACACGGTGTGGTCACCACCCCGCTTGGGGGCCCCTGACAGAAAAGCAATGATGATTGCCCCGGTGCTGGCAGCCTGGCCAGAACTCATCCCGCGAGGAACTTGGTCAAACGCGGTTGCGGTATACGAAGATGGCAACATGACGAGAAAGGGCCCATTCAAAACTGGCACGCACAAGCATCCTCATCCTCATCCTCATCCTCGTCTTCATCCTCCCCTCCAGCTCCTCATCGTGATGTCATTCCTCTTCCTTCTCATCCGCATCTTGCTATTCCTCCACCGAGCCCTTCGCCTCCTCATCCGCCTGCGCGCTCCACGTCCTCGCCCTTCTCCTCTCCATCCTGTTCCGCCATCCTCCTCATCATCCTACTGTTGCTCCTCAGAGCTGGTCATGCTGCACTGCATGTAGCTAGGTAACCAAGCCATCACGCAGGCACCTCCACATCGCCGATGTTCTGCAGCACCTTGTTCACGACGACTACCTCGCAAACGACAGTAGGGCGGGGGACGCGCGCATGGGACTGTCATGATCAAGCATGCGCTCAGTGATTACGGCTACAACCGGAGATCAAACCCAATACCACATTGCCCAAGGCGTGAAGCATGGTGCGATCCGCAAAGGCTGACGCCGAGGCTTAAGTAGCAAGAATGTCGGCTACAACCACCTTCATCATTGCATCCGCCACCGTGCCTTCCGCGCACAGAGGAGTGCCCCGGCTCATGCAAGTGTCAAACGTACAAGAGCTGTTTAAGTTGTTGGGGCATGGCACAAGCCACAACGTTGCAAGAATTCGTGGGCGTTCCTGGGCACGTCTGGCGTTAGCCGCATGAGCCTCCGAGAGGCCAAACCAGCCCAAACCCATTCCAGCGTCCCCCAAGACCATTTAAAGAAACATGCTCAAAAGTCTTTGGAGTCCCGAAGCGGTGCGGTGACAGACTGTGCGGTGACCTCGAAATCCTCCAAGACCTCACCGCACGGTCCGTCAACGCACGGTTTTGGGACCTCGGATGCCCCAGTCGCCCGAGACGTCCTCGGAGAACGACTCGAGTCCCAAAACCGTGCGGTGACCCCGAAATCCCACCGACTCACCACACGGTGTGGTCACCACCCCGTTTGGGGCCCCCGAAAAGCTGAACCTCGGCAAGCCCAACAGAACCGTTCTGAGGCTCCCCCCAGGGCCTCTGGGGACGCAGTGGAGCTCCTGGGGGCCAGCCCCAGGGGCCCAAACTACCCAGGCGAATAGGTCATGAAACTGCGAGTGCGGCAGAGCAAATGATACGAAGGGTGGGAACGAACCGTGCAAGGGTGTGCTAAACTGGCGAGGTGGCGGCGTGCGGACTTTGCCGCTGGGCCCGTCGGCGGATCTCCCTGTGGGGCCACGAAGCGTGCGAGGGGTGCTCCGACATGGGGCGGTGCCGCCATGCGAGCTTTGCTGTCGGGACTTTCGGTGGGGCTCCCTCTGGGGCCACGAAGCGTGTGAGGGGCTCTGGAGTGGGGCGGTGCCGCCATGCGGGCTTTGCACGCAAGCGTGTGAGGGGTGATCCGACATGGGGCGGTGCCGCCATGCGGACTTTCCCACTGTGGCCGTCGGTGGAGCTCCCTATGGGGACGCGCAGCGCGTGAGGGGTGCGCTGAAATTGGGCGGCGCCGCCATGCGGACTTTGCCACCGAGGCCGTCGGTGGAGCCCCCCATGGGGCCACGAAACGTGTGAGGGGTGAACCGATGTAGGGCGGCGCCACCATGCGGACTTTGACATTTGGGACTTGCTTGGGGCTCGCTACGGGACCACGAAGAGTGTGAGGTGTGTGTGCCGAAATTGGGCAGCGCCACCATGCGGTGCAGTTGGGCCCTCGCTGAAGCTTCCGATGGGGGCAAGAAGCGCGTGAGCGGGATCCGAACAGAGGCGGCGCTGCGATGCGGACTTTGGCATGTGAGGAGCGTGCTGGACTGAGGCAGCGATACCATGCGGACTTTGGCATTCAGCCAAAATTTGGGCTCACGAAGCGTGTCAAGGCTGTGCCGAAATGAAGCGGCGTTGCCATACGGACTTTGGCATGATGGCCTTCGTTGAAGCTTCCTATGGGGCAACGAATCGTGTGAGGGGTGTGCCGGAGTAAGGCGGCGTCGCCATGCGGGCTTTGACAGTTGGGCCTCAGTTGGGACTCCCTGTATAAGGGCAACGAAACGTATGGGAAGTGTGCCGAAATGAGCCTGCGCCGCCATGCGGCATTGATAGTTCGACCCTAGCTGGAGCCCCCTTATGGGGCCGCGAAGCGTGTGAGGGGTGTGCCGAAGCGGGCACGCGGAGGGCAGAGGCAGGGATGGGAGGAGTGAGGAGGTGCAGCGGGAAGTGGGAGTGAGACGCGGGGCGATATCTCTTCAAAACAAGGACCCGGCGCCAAAGGATGGTTGGGGAAAAGTGGAGCAGCGCGCTGCTTGTGTATACGTTCCGCATGCTCGACTATTTGATAAAGAGGGTCTCTGGGGCGCCCTCTCCGTGGTGTCTGGTCCCGGGCACGCTGTGGCAGCCACCCTGGGAAAAAAGGCGGCCGTCGATCTTGGAGCTGGTGGCCTTTAGTCCCAGGGGGTGCAGCCATCGAACCTAGGGTGTCTGGGGACACCTCCTGGTGTTCTCCCGCTCCTCCCCCCTGCTATTCCGGAACGCGAGCCGTGCCCACCTCAACCACTCTCACGGGGCCTGCACTTGGACAGAGAAGCCGGACTGTCTGAGTGTCGGGGGAGCAGGCAGCAGATCACCTCAGGAAGCATGTAGCGATCATCATTTCCGATGCGCTCCGACAAGCGAGCGCAATGGAAGGCAACAGGAGGGAGGTAGGAGATAGGAGGAGTGACAAGGAGGGAAAAGGGAGAAAGAGGGAGGAGGTGGATGGGGAAGGGATGAAGGAGGAGGGGGAAGAGTAGGAAGGAAGGCGGGGAGAGGGGAGAAAGAGGGAGCTGGGTTAGGTTGGGCGTGTCCCCCTACAGGCGGATTTTGGACGACAAACTAGAATTGTCAAACAATGCTCAGAAATGGCCCAAAATAGTCGAAACATCGTCCCCTGATTATTTTTTCGCTATTGTTGAACACTCCTCCTGTACAGGGACAGGCCCGACTTAAGCATAGGGGAGGGTGGGAGAGGAGGGGAGGGGAGGGGGGAGGAGAGGGGAGGAGGAAGGAACCTCCTCCCGTCTCCGCCGCTCCGCCTCCTCCCCCAGGGGCAGGGCTCGCCAGCGGACGCGATGCTTTGCTGCAGCCGGCCCGCGCCTTCTCGCTCGGGACGCGGGCCGCCGGCCCCGGCGGCGCCGCGAACGCGCCTGCCGCAGCCGCAGCACGGCCCACCGGGCCGCGGCGGCGGCGCCGCGTGCGGCTCGGCGACTGGGCCGTCGGTGCCGTACCAGCGCCCCGCCTCCGGGGCGAAGTCCCCGGGCGCCCCGCGGAAGCAGAAGGGCACCGTGGGGCAGCGGGGCTCCGGCCAGCGGGCGCGCTCGTCCCAGAGGGTCTCGGGCTGCCCCGCCCGCGGAGCACCCCCGCGCCAGCGCGTCAGCTGGAAGTGGAGGTGCGGCCACGCGAAGCCCGAGCTGCCGCTCTCCGCCAGGGCCTGCCCCACGGCCACCGCGTCCCCCGGGGCGACGAGCACGGAGCCCGGGCGCAGGTGCCCATAGTGCGACTGCAGGCCGCGGCCGTGCGAGACCACCACGAGGTTGCCCCCCGCGACGTGCGCGGCGTGGGGCCCGCAGCGCCGGTCGCCGTCGCGCACGAGGGCCACACGCCCAGCGGCCGCGGCCAGCACAGGCGTGCCGACCGCGCAGTCTGTTTTGGCGGTGCAAGCACGTGGGTGGCGCGAGGGGGGTGGCCTTCGGAGACGGCGGGGGGGTGGGGGGCTTCCAGCAGGGCAGGTGGCGTCTGAGCAGCCCTCCCAGCCTCTGCCCCCGCCTTCTGCGAGGAGACCCCCCGCACTCGAAGGAGGCACCCCCCGCAGTCGCGCCACCCATGTGTGCACGCCGCCAAGTCTAGGTCGACCGCGTGGTGGAGGTTGACCCCGAAGTGCGTGAGCCCGCCGCCAAACGCCTGCGAGCAGCGCCAGGCACAGGCCGCGGGGCCGCCCCAGACGCGGCCTCGGCCCGCGGCAGCGCGCAGCGGCCACCGCAGGCGCACCGCGCGCTGCTCCGACCTGCGCGGCGCCCCGCGGGCGGGGCCCTCGTCCGCGTCGCAGCGGGCCCCCAGCGCGACGGCGGCGGCGCGGCTGAGGCGCTCGCTCACCCGGCAGACGCGAACCTCTTCCCGCGGCCCAGCGTGGACGGCGAAGGTGATGCAGCGCTGCCGCACACCGTCCTCGCCGACGCAGCAGAAGGTGCCCAGCAGCTCGCCCTCGGCGCCCCTGCACTCGGCGCAGGCCGGCAGCGTCAGAAGCAGCACCCATGCAGCGGGCGTCGGGTTCCGGACCCACAGCTCTCCTCGGCTACACGCAAGAGTGACCCTGGGTAAGAGTGACCTCTGGTGCGCAGCTGAATGGTGGACGCCGGGCGGCCACACCAGGGCGCGCAAGCCGCTGCCAACGCTTCGCGCTCAACGATCGGGGGACCCCGTTGGGCCCGCACCAAAGGTCACTCTTGCGCCGCGCATGATGCGCGCGCGCTCACTCTTGCGCCGCCCAATGGCCACGCGGCATGCGCACAATCTTGCACCACGCCCAACGATCGGGGGACCCCATTGGGCCCGCGAAAGATCACTCTTACGCCTAGTCGATCTCCAGAGTCGAGGCCCCAGCAGCGGGAGCCCGGCGCGGCAGGGTCCGCCTGCCCGCGCCAGTCCGCGGGCTCGCCCCCGCGCCGCCTGGCCGGGCCGACGCCCAGCACCCAGCGGGCCCCGCCGCCCGCCACGTGCACGCCTGGGACGCCCGCGAAGCCGGCGGCGGCGTGGCACGGCTGCCCGCGGGCCTCGCCCGGGCCCTCGCGGGCCGCCGCCGCCGCCCGCGGCCGCGAGCCCGCGCCTCCCATGAGAGGCGCGCGGCGGTCCGCTCGCCCGGGCTGCTGGACGGCAGTCCCCTGGGTGGGGCCCCGGGGGCCCCGTGCGGCGGGCCCTGCGCCCGGCGCGCAGGGGGGGCCTCCGCTCGTCCGGGCGGCTGCTGGCGAGGGCCGCGGGCCCTTGCGCCGCAGGCGCGCCCCTCTGCTCGGAGGGCGGGGCCGGACGGGCGCCCCATGGGGGGCCGCCCGGAGGGGCGCGCGACGGAGGTGGAAGAAGACGCCAGGATCTCAGGCGGGGGCGGGGGGCGGAGGCGAGGAGGGGGAGGGGACGGACAGGCCACGTGAGCAACGACCAGAAGCGAGTCTCACGTGAGATGGCATTGCCGCCACCTTGCGCGCTGGCTTGCGCGGGCCGCCAGCGCGGCACGCTGCACTGGAAACGAGGGCGCTCACGCGCAGCGCGACCTCACGCGGGCAGCTTGCGCGCGAATGTCCGCGCAATGGACCCCGTTTTC